TATGTATATATATATTCCGATTCCTCCACTTTGTAATCTCTAACGAAGCAAGATAATACTTCCTCGACAATAAAGTGTTAACCTACCTCAGCCATATAGAACGCAGCCATTTCTTCATCAAAGACTCCAAAATTCTGAAGCAGCGAGAAAACGTCTCCACCAATCAGATACTCCATAACTAAATACAGCGACGTTGTAGACTGGAAGGAGTAGTACAGCTTCACCACGTGGGGATTGGCACTGCATAGACAATTGAAGAGGAGTTGTTCACCGTACTGGTCATTGCAAGGCGATTGGCCACCATGTTGGACAAATAACAGGGGACTGTCAATCACAGTGAATAAGTGAAGAGCTTTTATCGATTGAAAGGGTCACTAAAACAGGAGTCATTACCCAAGTGCATAGGGTTATCGGATGCGTGCGAAGGGTACCACGCCAGGGGTTGGCACAGCAATAGACAATTAAAGAGGAACCGATGTCCACAAAGACGTGTGCGAGCCACACACAAACACACTGAATATATATTATAATAAAAAGTACGACTCAATGACAAAAGAAAATCAATGCCTGCTGAAGTAAAGCCTATCAGTGTTCCCCATTGTCCCCCGATTGTTTCATAGCATTCTATAAATAGAACCGACAACCGGTACTCTAATACATACCTCATAGACAGGGCAAACTTCTCGGCCAAGACATTGGCGACCAGATTCTTGCGGATCATATCGGCCTTCTTCATGACCTTGATGGCATACAAGTCCTGGGTGGTGATTTTGCGTGCCAGGTAGACCTTTCCAAAGGCCCCTTTGGAGATGGGTTTGAGTATCTGGAAGTCTGTGATGCTGGGCACATTGGATGTCATCACTGGCACAGGTACCGCTGTCTCTGTAGTGGATGAGATATCCAGAATTCGGGGTTTAAGGTTTAGGGTTTAGAGTTTTAAGGTATAGGGTTTATGGTTTATGGTTTATGATTTAGGGAATATGGTTTAGGGAATACGGTTTAGGGTTTAGGGGTTGGTTTAGGGTTTAGGGGTTGGTTTAGGGTTTAGGGGTTGGTTTAGGGTTTAGGGGTTGGTTTAGGGTTTAGGGGTTGGTTTAGGGTTTAGGGGTTGGTTTAGGGTTTAGGGGTTGGTTTAGGGTTTAGGGGGTTGGTTTAGGGTTTAGGGTTTAGGGGTTGGTTTAGGGTTTAGGGTTTAGAATTTATGGTTTATGATTTAGGGAATATGGTTTAGGGAATACAGTCTAGGGAATACGGTTTAGGGTTTTTGGGCCTAGGGACCAAAGAGTTCCCCATTAAAGTTGGGAAGCGTGTCGATAGAGTTTGATCCACGTAAGCGTGCATAAAAGAATGCTTGTTTATGTCTGTGTGTTGGTATGCTTGAATGCGTCTATGTAAAAGATGTTCATGTTCTTGTACAGTAGCCTCACAAGGCAGACACCTCCTCAAATAGACATATTGTGTACCTACAACTACGCTTGCACCAAATG